TGCAGCGTCGCTGGTGGAGCTACCGGCTGCTTCAGGCCACGGCTTGGGAAACTGGGGGACCCACAGAATTATTTCTGTGGATAAATGTAGTGTTTTTCCCCGCAGACAGGCATGGAAATCGAGGAGGGAAGGGGTTAAGCGAGAAGTGTTGCTCTGCAAATGAAACTTGCATCAGGCAGGGGTTCGGCGCAGCTGCTTGCAGCGTCTCGCTGTCAGATCAGGACAAATTCCCAGCATGGCCATTAAGGCTTTGGTGTGTAGGGTTAGAAAAATAGCGAGGGGTACTTGGGGAGTTGTCTTTACAGCTCTTGCATTGAAAATATTTTTTTTAGCGTTGAGGCTGAATGTTGTTTTCGTTTTATAAATAACTGTGTATTAACAGAGCACAATAATTAGGGGATAAAAATGGGGCAGGTTAATTAATTCTTCTCTGGCCAAACAGGAAGGTGCTAATGTTTGTGTGCCGTGATATTGTTATTTCAGCTTTTAAAAGCTGTACTAATGAACCAGAAAGATGACTCTGAATTAGTTTCAGATTAGTATGATAAAGCACACGTAGATGCCTGTGTTGAGAAAAGAATACCAATGCAGTATATAAATAAATGTTTGCAGAATTAGTACAAAAGAATATAATTACTTATAATTATCTTAATGTAAATTAAGTGATTGCAACTTCGCATATCTAGAAACACTGAGAAATATTTTCATTGCCTTAAAACTTATTATGTTATATAAGTGGTTTAACATTGTATTGTTACTCAGCTACAGTTCGTGCTACTTCCTAAAGAGACTTCAAAAATATTTAAGCATCAGTGTTTTTTTGGTATTGAGAAATAGAAGATGATTTTGTCAACAGAATATTGGCACACAGCTTAAAGGGCATCTGTGGATCAGGCTTGGCAAAATGAGGAGATTAAGTTTCAAGTTGTAATAGGGTTTTTTTTAATACTTGAGCATTCAATCAGAACTTCTTGTTCTATCTGGTACTACTGAAATACTAAAACATTTTCAGGTTATCGTGAGAAATGTAATTCCGTGCTCCAGGAGCGGTCTTGTGTGCCATCTATTGGAACAAGGCAAAATAACCATTTAAAATGTCCTGCCTGGGCTTCACCGTTGCCATTTGCTGGTGCTTCTGATTCCTTCTGTCTCGGGCCCCGCGGCGTTGCGAAGCCGCAGCCGGGAGAAGGAGTCGGAGCGCAGTAAGAGCTATAGGAAGCTCAAAGGAGCACATCTCACTTGTCTGGTTGTGAGAAAGAAGCATTGTTTCAGGTTCCAGCCTTAAAAAGAAGGACAGAACACCCACAAAACTTACAAGCCAAAATGTTTTGATTATTGTGGTTTACTCCAGGCAGTGGCACAAAGCACCGAGCTCGGGATCAGTAGGAAATCCCGGAGCTCAGCCCTCTGGAAATGGGAGCACTAAATTAGAGTGCCAAGGGGTGTCAATTTGACAAATCTGTCCTGTCACACAAGGGTAGGGTGTGATGAAAAGATCATTTATACATGTCATTGGGAAAGAAAACACTGATTATTTCAGGTGAACGGGATCGATCTGCGGAACGCCAGCCATGAAGAAGCTATCACTGCGCTGAGACAGACACCCCAGAAGGTGCAATTGGTCGTTTACAGAGATGAAGCACATTACAAAGATGAAGAAAACTTGGAGATTTTCTATGTAGACATACAAAAGAAAACGGGCCGAGGACTAGGGCTCAGCATAGCTGGAAAACGGTAAGAGCGTCTCTCCGGTTGGACCGCACTTCAAATGAGACGTGTTTTGCTTTTTGCCATGTGAACAACTGTAGCCATTCAATGGAATAGGAAATAAAGGAAAAACTCTCTAAGGAACAAAATTTTGGATCTAAATATCTTCAAGGATGCCATGGGGCTGTGCTCCTGCCTCCTCTATCAGAATGACGGCGTACCTGTGTAGCAAAGGAGGCTGCTGCTGCCCAGGATTGCTCCAGGCGTGCGGCACGGAGCGGGTGTCCTGCTCGGAGCGAGCGTGGGCAAGCGGGCACGTGCAGAGCCGGGATCTCACTGTTCTGGTGGCTTTGTCATAGCTGTGTCTCAGGGCTTGGAAGCCCTTGCCATGGCTTTTCTGATTTCAAACTGGGGAGAGAAACCTTCCTATTTCCAAATAACGGGTTATGCCTTTGAAAATGAGTTTGTGAGTTAGATCTGGCTCGTGCTCGGGTTCAAAGGGGCCAGTGTCAGTGGAAGATGAGAGTCTGGGTTGGACCCAAATCCTGATCGATGTCAAAGTGTCTGCACAACACTACAGGCAGCAGCTCTGTGAGTACAGAGCACAATCTGAGATACGGTGGTAGGTAACAGCCACGTAATAAAACGTGGCTTTGTACTGATGTATTCCTAAACCATTACCATTAGATCATTCGAACCAGGGCACTGATAGATTTAATTTTTCATTGCGAGAAGAGATTTACAGCATGACACTGGCGAGCACTCGTTCAGCGTTGGTGCGTCAGGAGTCATATGGTTGCTCTTCTGTATTGCCAAAAAAAATTTATTTTCTCAATTACAAATCATCGTGTCGTTATCCTGACTGCGTACGGTCAGTAAAGTTTCCACAGTGTTTTTTTTACAAGAGTGGCAATGTTTAACCCAGGTGTTGTGAGCAGATTGCGGGTTGGGTAATTAATTTAGCTTATGTAAATTACCCTACAGATGGTAATCGCGGTCTCCAGCCCTCCTGCCTTTGCTTCTCTGCAAAACTTTCTGTGCTATCGCTAACTCCTTCGCTTGTGGGGATTCCCACGTCACAGGGAGCCCAATTTCTGAAGTCATTTAAATGATACCTGGATATAATTCATGTTGTGCACTGTCGAGACCTTTGGGGTGAAGGATACCAAATGCCAGATCGTTGCCTCTCAGCCTTTAGACGCTTTAGGGACAATATAGGGAAAAAAAAAGAAAATCTGAGGCTGCATAATTCATATCAGGCACATCAAGAGATGGTTTAACTCCATCTTAGACCAATCTTTGGCTTTTTATTCGTACAAGTGGTATTTTTCATGAATCTTTGTGCATCCTACAGTCAGAACTAACTGTTCAAGGGGAAAGACAGCATTAAATATAGCAAAGCATGCCTTGCTTTTAAAACTCGTAGATTTTTTTACACTCAAATGGTTGAATGGGGTGTAAAACTCGTTCTTCCTCTGCTCACAGGTTTCTTTTAATGTCTCTTAAATGCAAGTAATCTAAATTGGTCTCCCAAAGAATATTGGATTGTGTAATTAGCCATATGCTTCTTGCATTGTTAGAAATGGAAGTGGAGTGTTTATCTCTGACATTGTTAAAGGAGGAGCTGCAGACCTAGATGGAAGATTAATTCAAGGAGATCAGATTTTGTCTGTAAATGGAGAGGATATGAGAAATGCCTCACAAGAGACTGTTGCCACTATACTTAAGGTGAGTACGTAACACATTTTAAGGTACTGAATTGCAGTTACTGGCACTAGGCAAGGTGATTATCCTGAAGTGCTATCTACACATACACAGGACAGCTCAAACTGATTACCGAGACAGGAATTTCATCTCAAATAACTTTGGGAGATTCATTTAAAATCTCTTCTCCGTGTATGTTTAGAAGTGGGGTGATGTGAAGTGGGCAAACAAAGACACGTGTGGTATTTAGGCATTTATTTGAAAATGCAGCTGTGTGTTTCATACGTTAGAAAAATATTTTGAAACCTGAGAGTCATACAAATCAGAGCTGACATAAAACACCTTGGACTTGGCTAACCTGCAGCTATAAAATGACAACTTAAATCTGTTTCTGCACAGTTTTCCATCTTACAGGAGCAATTTTATACCCAGAAGTTGTACAGTCTGATGGGAGAAGTTGCCTGTTTCCATTAAAAAGCACGTGGCTGCTGGAGTCGAAGGAGAGGGCAGGGGATGCCTGCTCCCCTCTGTACAGCTCCCAGCCCCAACAGCCTCTACCGAGGCTGAAAGGACGGGTGGGAGTGATGCTGCAGACCCATTTCTAGACAAAACTGCATCCAGAGACAAGGGCTTTTTCCCTCCTATCACCACTAGTGTTTCTGCATATGATTTCTTTCATTCTAGAAGGGAAAGGCTGATTATTTCCTTGCTTTTTCCATTCGGGGCTGGTACCTGGCCAAAAGTTCACCTATTTAAGAACTGGAAATCAGTGATGTGAGGGTGTATTATGAAGTTGAATCCAGATGTGTTAAGTTCACTCTTTTCTGCAGTATTTTTCCTCTGAAGTGTTTTTCATGAGTATTGTTTGTGGCAAATGTCTGTTAAAGAGTCGGGGGCTTTTTGTTTATTTTTATTGAGTAATTGACTGTCTGCAGTTTGCCAGTTGGAAGAGTCACACTGACTTCAGCAACCAGGACAGACCTTCAGGATAAACCTAAATCCAAGGACAGATACTTTTTGTATTGTCTAAATACAAATGTTAACGTTTTGAGCATTCCTTGTGGTTTTCTTCACGGAGTTGCAGTGCTGAATATAAACATAATTCTCTCCAGGAGAGCGCGAAATATTATATGTCTACTTAAATGCTGTACATTGTGGTTTGCTTTTTTTTTTTCCAAGTGTGCCCAAGGCCTAGTGCATCTTGAGCTTGGGAGACTGCGAGCTGGGTCGTGGCTATCAGCACGGAAAACATCCCAAAACAGTCAGGTTAGTGACAAATTCATACGTATGAAACGGAGCTGTGAAGGGCAGGGCCCGGGGACAGAGCTCAGTCCTTCCATAGGCACTTACTGCTGAGTATGTGGAACAAAATATTCTATTGCAATAATTTTCTGAGCTAAACTGCGAAGTAAGTGTCGTGCCAAAATGCTGATTAAGTAGAAGAGCTAGTTAATGGTTTGGGTTTTTTTTAAGGAGTGTCTTCCTGGGACACCCCAAAAATACGTGATGTGTTTCTCAAATGATGATGCCCAGAAATTCTGTAGCCCTGCAAAAAATGCTGAATGTATTTTCTGCAACTGTTTCGTCAATCAAAATGAGTTAATGAATCTGAACTGTATCTTTGCCTATCTTATGGCAGAACCACATGAGAGCTGCTTTGCTCTCAAAGAAAACACAGAGCAATTTCCTGCTTCACTTGCTTTTTACCTGAAGCGAGAACAACAATTCATTTTTCAATCAGTGCAGGGCTTTTCCCTTCTCCCCGCGCCCCCGAATCAGCTCAGCTACCGATACCATTAGTATTAAAGCCCGAGTGCTGCAAGGGAGCAAAAAAAACAAGGCGAGACGACTTAGAAAACTTTTTTAATGGATTTTCTTTCCAAAACCTGCCTGCCTTGCCGTGATATTTAAGTTGCCAGTGTGCTGGAGAGAGACAAGCTGTGGTTCACAGTGCTGGTGCTCTGGAGTGTTTTGGCCCCTTTCTGCATGGGGGCAGCTGTTGGGGACCAGGGGGGACATCGCCTGCACACCGGTGAGACAAGTCCTACAAGGGCTCGGGCTTGGAAATGGAGAGGAGGAGCCGTAGGAGACTTAGGCGAGGTGTAAATTAAAGCAGGAATAAATGCTTTAAAATAGTGGCTAAAATAATGGCTAAATATCATTGGAGAAACATCTGCACTGCGTGCAGCAGGCAAGGAAAACTGAAATAACAGAGGAAAACGGTACTGATGGCATTAAGTAAAGACAGCAGTCTTGAGCATTACTTATTTTTTGGTCCTTGTGTCAACAGCTAGCCTAAGCAAGAGCAACGTCATCAAAAAATGACGATTAAAAATTGTCCACTCAGCTTTACTGCATAAAGCTCAAAGCTGATAGGGAAGCAAAATGCCGTAGTATCTAACGTGAGTCTAGGAAGAAAATCAGATCAAACAACGTCATCCCCCTTTCTTCGTAGCACAAGAGGCTTTTGCAGGAACCTGGTGATTTCTGTATTGCTTTTACTACAAGAAACGTTAATAGCTCTTCTTAATGAAGAGTCATTTGAGAGCCTTCGTCTTGCTGCTCCTAAGTGACTTGGTGATTTTGAAAACTGAATAAACGTTTCTTAACAAAACCGTTCCAAGAGTTATAAAAATTCTGGCAGATAACACGGCAAATCAGCTTGAATGATTTGCACAACTGCGAGTGATGTTTCAGAAGCTGCTGGCCAAGAGCATCCAGACCTTTTGTCCTCGCTTGGCTTTTTCCTTGGTCCGTTGCGTGCCTTTAACGGTAGAAATATAAGGCTTGGGGTGCAGGACAGTGATTTCTTTCACGCACATTGCAAATTATGTGAACTGGCCCAGGAGTTGGCAACCAGAGGTGGAAATTGTGCTCTGCCTGTTGTTCGTCACTGACAGCTGCACACTGGTCAGTTCAGATAAATGCTGCCAGAGCTTTCTGATTCACCGCCTAATGCGTCGGGAGGGAGGAAGCTCTGCCGTGGATGGAGAAGTATAGACCAGAGCTTTGTTCTGTAGAAGGCAGCTTAGTTGAAAAGCTCTGGCCCTCGGTGAAACCTCTTGTTCAGATGCATTTCCTAAATTGATAATGATGTTGCCTCAAGGGGCAGAGTCTGACGATAAAGGCAGATATGGAGATAGGGAAAAGGGAGGTTGGAAATGGATGGCCAAGAACTGGTAACATGCACGAGCATCTGTCTTCGGAGGCTGTCCCTTTTGTCAGCTGTAGTACACAGACATCTCATCCTGCCCCTGGGATGTTACTCTGGAAATGAGAGTAGGTTCTCGGTCAAATGGAAAGAGCAGGGTCAATTACAGGACCTTGCAATGGGGCAGTATCCAAACGGGCAGGGCGAGGAGCCTGCCGGGGGCTTCGTGGGGAAGATGCCCACAAGCTTTAGCAGCAACCATCATCTGCCCTTCTCCTCAACTTCGGAGACACACTGGGAAAAAGCAGAGGAGGGGGTTAATCCTACTTCCTTATGACCTCTAGAGCAGACCAGAACAACGTACACGTTACTTGTGCACGTAAGGGAGTGAAGTGCAGTTGGGCGCTACTGTGAGCAGCTCTACGGCTGTGCCCACGACTCAGGGACAGGTTTTGGCACGTTCCCCCTTTGGAAGTGAAGTTGGAGGGGTCTGCACTTGTGTGGCTGATGCGGTATTTGCAGTCTGGTTGGCACAGAGCACAGCTGTGCCTGTGTGTTGCAGGAACTGGTTTAAAGTTAACGTTTGGCTTTAACTCACGGGTTTTAATTTATTTTTAACATCAGGTGAGCCAACAGAGTGTCCATGGCCACTTCCATCCTACTCTTGCTCCGGTCCTCTCTACCTTACAGAATTTTGTCAGCACGAAAAGATCTTCAGCAGGTGTGTCTCAGAGAAATTCAGGTATAAGCTGGGCGGCCGTCGGAATAGCTGTGTGGCATTTGCACTGTTGCTTTATATTTGTGCTGGTTTCAAAGCAAAACTGAATACTTGAATCTGGTTTTCCTGCTCAGCCTCCCAGAAGACGTACCACTGATATTTTAAGACCCAAACACTTTCCAGCAGATGACATTGTTTTTACGTCTATTAGTATGGTAATGGCTCCTCTATTTTAAAGGTAGAATTCCTGCACCTTCCAATTCCCCGATGCCCTTGTCGGAGGCTTAGCACAGGCAAGGTTCTCACATTAGAAACATTTTTCTGAGGGAATAAAGCTGCCACCACTCCATTTATATCTTTGTTGCTCTTGAGTGTATAAAGGGGTGTTTTGTAATGAGAAAGTCACGATGCCCCGTTTGCAATTTTCAGATTTAGCAAGTGCTAAATCCACAACCTGCAGCAGCTCGTGGGGAGCCCGTGCGTCCGTGCGCTCCGACCTGCCTCACGAGTTGGTACCTGTGCTCGTGTCCGACCGTGGGCAGGAGGCGAAGACGTTTCTCCTGGCAGTTTGCACGTGCTGGAGGAGGCGTGTGGCTTTTTGGGACAGCCTTCCTCTTGCCGCTTCGAAGGGCCCTGCAGCGCCGAGGTGCACATCTGAGCACCCCGATTCGGCATCCCACGGCTGCAGACCTCGCTGCGCCTCGGCGGTCCTGCACGAGCGCACGAGAGAAATACTCGTATGTGTTACTAAGAACCATTAACTCTTGAAAGAGTCTCTGTCTTCTAAAAGATTATTGAGACAGTTTAATTAAAGCTGATAGAATTAGCGATCAGTGTAGGAGAGCCCAGGACCTGACTACACCATCAGCTTTTAGGCTGTTTAGTCCCAGTTTGAATGATTCCTTTGACGTGTCTCTTTTTTTTTTCTTTTGTTTTGGCTGTTTTGAGTACTTTTAAATGTCCTACGGCTAGGTGTCTGCCAGCTAGACTTCCTGACTGTCTATTATTTACTAATACAGCACAAATTAGAAGAGGAAATCAATAGAACCTCAACAGTCTCAGACCAGCTGCGTGCCCTACCCTTTGTGGTAGGGAAACAGTGATTTATGAATAATAAGCCAATCTTTAATTGAGTGAAATGCACAATAGGGCTTTTTTTCAGACTGGCAGAGTGCTGCTATTCAATAGATTGCGGTGAGCAGCGGCTGCGCTACAATGGGCGTCGCGGTGGCATCCGTCAGCCGGGGCGATTACATCCGTATTCATCTCTGGGTGAAACAGAAATCCCGTCCTCCTCACGTGAGCAGCACTGCCTGGTTTGGCACGGGAAGGCTCTGCTTCTGCTCGGCGATAACTCTGACTAGGCAGCAAGGGACCATTGTCACCTGACAGCCTTATCTCTTAATTATATTATCTCTTAATTACAGAAGCTAATTGTTTGTTTCTTTATTAGTAGGAGCAGATATGGGCCCAAGGACTGTGGAGATAACAAGGGTCAGTGAGTTATTTTCTATCAATTCAGAAAGCTGACACCTTTAACTGAAGTCGTTAATTTCTGTAGCGTTTCTCAGAAGTAAAATCGCATTATTTATGTTTGCGATGGGTGGTTGGATGTACGCCTGTGTAATGGGACATGCGTGTGTCTCTCAAACCTGTCTATTTTCTCCCTGTTCCATAAATCAAACGAGTCAGTTATTGCTATACCCTGAACGCTGACCTCTCCAAGTTGCTCCAATTGCAAACGTCATTTTTGTTTTGTTTTGTTTTAGGGACCAAATGATGCGCTTGGTATCAGTATAGCAGGAGGGAAGGGAAGTCCATTAGGAGATATCCCCATCTTCATTGCTATGATTCAAGCCAGTGGTGTGGCTGCACGTACCCAAAGACTCAGAGTGAGTAGAGGGGTCTTCTCAACACTTCCTATTTCATCTGCCGTGTTTCCCACAGAGAAGGAGCCTCAAACCCTTCTCTATATGACATCATTTTGATAATGTCTCATAGACTGTTCTGTCTCTTAAAAACAAAGAAACAAACCAAAACAAAACACCAAAACCAAACCTGCCCTTCTCTTCCCTTTTTGATTGTATTGCATCTTGGGATAATGGCAATAGTTGTCCACATGGAAAAGTGATGTTAAGAGAAAGCACATAAATATGTTTGTAGTGGTCTTTGGATGTGTATGTTCATCCAGAGCCAGAGAGGGCAGCAGCAGGCTGTCTGGAAACCACAGGTGTTTGGGGGACTGCAGACCGGGCATCGTTTAGAGCTCAGACCAGGTAGAAACCAGCTCAGAAGTCAGTTGTTTGATCTTAAGGCCCTTAGAAAGAAATGCCAAAAGTAAAGCACTTGTATCAGACCCACAGGATAGGTGGGTTTCCAGGAATGACCGTGGTGAGCACTTTCCAGTTTTGGAGTTTCATGGAATCATTAGTATTGAAAAGAGCTTATTATGCAGATACATGGGATTACTTTGGCCCCAAGATGCGTTAGCACACGCTGCTACATTCATGCCATGTCTCTGAGAGAATTACACAATAGCACTAAGTGCCAGGGTCAAGATTGGTTTTATGTATAAGAAGAAGAAATCATGTAGGTTAATTAGAATAATATCAAAAGTGCCTGCTTTCCTGTATTGCGTTCAGCATGTGCATACACAGTCTGTAAGAATAAGAACTTGTCTACATATAAGGACACAAATGAATCCTTTCTGGATGGGCGGACAGCAGTGAAAATCTCACTCTCTGCTTGCAAAAGGAAATAGTAAAACACAACCCATCTTTGTTTCTCTGATCGCGTTGTTATGTAAAAAAAAAAAAAAATCTGTATTGCACTTGCTCTGAAGAATGGTAAATGATCACTAGCAATGCAGAATTCTTACAAAAGGGATCCTGCAAAAGAGAAGCATGACTGTGCGGTGCCAAGTTCACGAGGAATTTTAAGCATTCTTAATTTTAATTTTCCCTAATGCTAGTAATTTTCCATTACTGTTGTACTTTTAGGTTGGAGATCGGATTGTCAGTATTAATGGGCAACCTTTGGATGGGCTGTCTCATGCAGATGCGGTTAATCTACTAAAGAATGCTTATGGGAGCATTATCCTGCAGGTATGGTGATAAATTGAACATGCAGCTGCATGAGGGTAGATAAATGGCATTCAGGAATAAAAAAAAAAACTAAGCATCACTGGCACGAGGCATCACAGAATTGCAGGGTGCTTGCTGATGGGAATTACACAGAATGAAAGCAAGAAATAATTTTCATTCAAAAAATCTTTATTGCCACTCATACAGGCTGTGAGCATGATTATATAAAAGCATAACAAAGAGAACAGAATAACTTGTTGCTACACATGATAAATCGACAAGCTTCCAAGTTTGTTGTTTTTTTTTTTTAATTTGAAGTTAACTAGGAACAAGAAATTACGTGTGCGTGTATGTGTGCGTGCGTGTAACTAGACTGTGACCAAACTGCCCACAGTGTTAATTTCCTTGTTCTTGAAAAGGGGAGAAGAAAGAAATGCTGGCAGCATTTAGTAAAAATGATAGCATCATCATTAAGACAGTGCTGCCTAGAATTGATTATTCTACAGGTAATGAATAATAACACTCGAGAGAGAAAACAGTGTTATCACTGCCACGTTTATATGCTAGCTAAAAGGAAGACGTGTTCTGCCACTTTGGTTCTAATTGCTGCTTGCCAGTATATTCATCTTTACTTTATTTTTATGTTTACACAAAGAAACGGGAAAAATACTTGCCAGAGAGAATTCAAAATACTACTCGTTTGCAGAATTATTGTAACAATTGGAAAACAAGCTGAAGACGTACCACTAAAATCTACTCTAATTTTCTTTATCGTCACAGCATATTGGATTGGAACACATCTTGAGAGATTTTTGCAAGCTTCTTGCTCGCATTGCAACACAAATGTGACTATAAAAAAATGGGGGGGGTGAAGGAGGAAGGAAATGAAATGATAATAAACTTACTTTTAGACTTGCTTATTCTTTGTTCTGTGTGTCTGTGAACTGCTGACCTGGTAAGTGATGAGCCAGTTCCAGAGCAGATGGTGTGTTTGTCTAGTTCCATTGAAGTCAAAGGAAATGCACAGATATACACCAGCTGAGGATTTTCTGTTAAAATTATAGTTATCATATTGTTGCTAACGTTGAGTAATTTCACTTTTCTTGTCAACGGTATTCCCTGAATAGAAAATGAAAGCTTGCTGCGGAACCCAAAATTGCTCATCTTGAAAGCTGTAATACAGCGTATTCCACCTCATCAAGTATTTCAAACTCTTCCTGACGAAGCCCGCTGTCAGTTGGGTGCTCACATAAACAAAATGGTTCTTCTAGGAACGTCTTTGGGTTTGTCAGTCGAGGGTTTTTCTCCCGCGTTTTTGCCGTCGAGCTTAAAATGGGCTGAATAATTTTTACGGATGACACGGGTTTATTCTGATGGAATAGAATCTGTTTTCAGCCATTAAAAAATCCGTGATGTGGAGGTGGGGTGTTATGTTTTAATACCAGCAGGGAGTCGTGTGGCAGGGGGGGGGGACGCGGTTGCCTCACACGCCGACGGCAGGTACTTCTCCATCACCAGATTGCCTTGATTTCTGTTAAAACAATCTAAATGCAATAACCCTATCGCCGCGATAATCGTGACTGATGTGCCATTAAGTAATTCTATTTATCACCAGGTTAGGCCACTTCATGGCAAACCGCTTTGAAAGGTCAGATAATTGCGTTCAGCGGTGCGGAAAGGCTGATTATCAGCACGTCCTGCGAAGGATGGCAAAGGAGTTTGCAAATGCTGTTTGCAAATGGGAGATTAGGGTCTCAGGGGAACAATCATCCCCTTCGGCTGTTTTGATGCTTTGGTTTAATTTAATTTCTTTTCTGCAGGTGTAGTAATGAGATAAGGGGAAGCTTTTTTACAAGGTTGTTGAACTCCGATACGTTCTTACTGCCGACTGAAGATTTTTGAATATGGATTTGGTTTGCCCTCGTTTTATTTAACAGCAAAATATGACAAATACTGATGACAAATACTGGCTGGCACCCTTTTCCCAGCTGCAACAGGACAGAAAACTTAACGGTGTCTTTGCTGGCTGAGCCAGGTGCAGCTGTCTTGTCTGCCGGACCCCTTCATTTAGGGCATCCCAGAACCTGAGTCCTGGGATGCCAATTTGCGTGAGAACTAATCTTCCTTCCTAGAAAATGCTACCACCCTCTTGGCTCCAAGTGATTAGAAAGAGGGAAATGTTGTTGTGGAAGAATTGTGAGCGTTCATTTAAAACGGGGGATTTATGTAATGGATTTTTTTATATCGAAAAGGTACGTTTCCCTTAAGCCATGTTCACAGCAAGAAGTGGAAAAATTACCTGTGAATTTTGATAAAGTAAGGCCATAGATAGCTAAAGGAAATATTGAAAATATACTTACTGGGTATTTCTTACTGTCCCTGAGCTGAACTCCTGCACTGTACAGTGAAGGTCAAGCAGAGAAGAATATCTCATCAGAAGCAGATGGAGTTAGGGGATAACCATGGCATGTAGTTGTTAGGAAACTGATGCCCTTTGAGCTGCAAATACTTAAAATCCAAAACACTTCATAATGGTTTCCTCAATTTTTTTCCAGAAAAAAAAGCAAAGACCAGAAAAGGTTGCTTTAAAAAGCCTGAGCAAGTTTGCTGCCCCACAGCTTGTCTAAATGTCATTAACTCTATTGATTACTGCGCGGTCGTAATTCGTGATGGTTTCAGAATAAGACAGGAGCCAGAATTGGGAAGTTTAAGAATCCAGTTTGTGGGATTCACGCTGGAGATTGCAGAAAAATTGTAACCAAGGATTAATTTCTTCCCTGCTCCGCAAACAAACCCATCTGAGGTATTTCAGGGCCTTTGTCCAATAGACCCTTAGGACTCTGTATTTAGTTAAAGGCTGAGGTGCTCTCTGTGGGAGACCTTTACGTTTAAGCCCTGCACCAATCCTGGACACATTATGTTGACTCTGAGACACCCCTATTTTCTTGACAAAGTAACCTCTTCCTCTGGATTATCCAGAAGGACTGTTCCCCTCTGCCCAGCGTGGGAGTGACAGTCGTGTAAAGGCAAGAGGAAGCTTCAGAACAAAGTTTGCGTTGAACCCCCAGAAAGGTGGTTGTGATTAGCTGTCAAAAGTGTTGAATGAGTAGGAAATTTAAGACAGTAGGACTTCTATTTGAAAATTTACTTGGAAAAAAACCACCAATGACTGATTTTCCTAATTTATGGGCTATTTTCTATGTAATTAACCAAGATGTCTTTGGGATTAAGTGAATACACATAATTCTTCATTGCATCCTTCTGTTTAGGTTGTGGCTGATACCAACATCAGTGCCATTGCGACCCAACTGGAGAGCATGTCTGCGGGATGCAACCTTAACTCTTCTGCTGAGCATCCTTCTGAAGATCCCGAGTAAGTTCGTGCTTAGTCCGCGTCACTGAGGTGGATTTCCGTGCGCCGTGCAAAGGAAAGCCGAGGGTGGTGAAGGAGGTCTCTCCTATTGCTTTTCTCTCTAATTTTCCATCACCTTTAAAATGAAAACCTTGGCATTCTCCAAGCTGATTATGGGGTTGTGTCTGTCTTCACCTCATGACAGAAATTTCTGGACTAAATAAGCACAAAATGCATTTCCAAGCACTAGTTCTGGACATTTTTAAAAAAAAAAAAATTATCTCCTTTGTTTTCTAATGTGTTATGCTGACATGATAGTTCTGGCCTTGTCTGTTGGCTTCCTTGCCTGAAAGGAGATACGATCGTAGCAATTTGAAATAATTTGTCATTGGCAGCCTAAGGCAAGAGGTGTTAAAAAGCCTGGTATCAGAGACAAATGTTTCGATAACTTTCTTTGTCTCTTTACAATTAGAAAAAGTCTGATTTAAAAATTTCCTGCTTACAGCATTTCTGGATGGTGATGAAAGTTAGAGATCTAGCCCTTCCGTGGCCATGCATCATTCTCCATCGTGTGCTTTTTAGGGCAGTTTAGAGCATTCCAGTTATCTTTTTGAAATCCATTTGATCTTCATTTTCTTTCATTAGCTTCATTATCATCTTCATTTTCATTCTTTGGTTTATTATATTTATTTTAAGAAGCTGAGATGCAAGTTTCTACCCTACCTCAGGGGGTTTTGAGTATAAAAGTTAAGCTATTTATGCCGAGTTCTCTAGTCTTACAATGTGAGATGCTGTTTTTATTGCTGCTCTCAAGGGAGAATTGCTTACTTCACTAAAGGATTTGTATTCTCTTTTTGTATCAAAATAGTACGGAAATTTGAACGTGAAAATGTGAAGGTGGGCGTATGCATTTGTTCTGTCCCAAAGAAATGGCCAGATGTTAGTCATCAGAGGCTACACCGTTGTATAGGTAGAAGATGCCAGACAGCTTTTGTCCCCAGTAGTTCTTTCTACATACGTAGAAATTACTTTTTCAAATTTGAGATGGGTCTATACATACAAGTGGTCTAAATTCCACCAAAAGTCCTCCTTTGCTCAGTGGAGACAGTGAAAGCCCCTGGAGAGAGTTCAGGCTCGAAGCGCTGCACCGAGCGAGGGGCTCTCAGAGGTCAGCCTCTGGGATGTGGGTGGAATAGAGGTGGTTAGAAGAGAGCCCAAAGAGTCTGCAGTAGAGCTGAGACTACAAACATGAGCGTTCCTGGCTGCACCCTCTCTATTAGACTCCTTCCTCTGAAGTCATAAAATAAAATTATGCTGTAAGGGAATTGTTGCAGTTGCCACTTAGGCAGAGTAAAGGCGACAGCCTGGCCGGTGGGAAAGCAAACTCCTCTACATCCGTGCGGTGAGTGCAGATGAGGGGAGCATCGCCTCCGCGTCGGAGATCAAGGCTCTTGTCGAGCTCTTATTGAAAATAAGTATTTTCAAAGAGAGGAGCTGAAGTACAGGGAACAGCGTTTGATCTCCGGGCTGCGCAGGAGTGTGTTTCAGTGGGAGGACAAGAGCTGTGGTTTGTGACTGTGTGAAAAACTTCTTGGTAGATGAATATCTCTGTAAATGTTCCTTCTGCATAAAGTCCCCAGAGACAGACTTTGCTGTTCTAAGTGCTATTTATTGTGTTTTCAGAGCACCTCAGCCTAAGATTATTACTTTGGAGAAAGGCTCTGATGGACTGGGATTTAGTATTGTAGGGGGGTATGGAAGTCCCCATGGAGACCTGCCCATTTATGTCAAGACTATATTTGCCAAGGTATCTTTTTTTTTTGTTTTGCTTTCTCCCTTTTTCTGTATTATCTTTAAAAATAAACCTACGATTTGGCTTGGATAATATATTATGTAGAATAAAGCAAAGTGTACTGTCCAAGGGCATTGATGTGAGTAAGTGAACCCAGGACTCGCAGCTGGCTTCTCAGTTTATATTTCATAGTACTGATGGCTGAAAGAAGATTATCTCAGCAAAATTCCTCTGTGTACTTGGGAAACTTGCTTTAATCCATTAAAATATTTATGAGGCAGTTTTCTATCTGTAAATCTCAGAGCCTTCCAAGAGGTATGGAGGCATCCCTTTTCTCCCTGTACGGGAGAGGAGGCGGTTGCGGAGATGCTGTATATTTGTGGCTGAGCTTCAGCTGCAAAACCAGCGATAAGCTCCTGTGCTCAGGTACTCACCTGGGTGAGAAAATCACCGAAAGACGAGAAGGCCAGAGCTTGTGGCTTGGTAGTGAACTGGCTTACACGTCGGTCCTGGCTTTAGTTATTCTCCCGTGCTTCCAGCTTCTCTCTCACGCCTCTCCATGAGTACCGTGTGCTGGAGCCGCTCACATTCCGGCTGTCTTAGCCCATCTCTGACCCCAACCCTGAGTGTTGGGAGGGGAAATTGGGGGTCCCAGCCGGGTACGGCAGACGGCAGTGGCTCCGGCCACCGAGGAAGAACCAGAGTACAGCACAGCCCAGCCTCAAGGCAGTCAGCCCAGGAATGGCCACTGGTGTAGAGGGAGAAGTGCCCCTTTTCCCACCCATCCCCTGGCTAGAAACGTGCTCAGTGTGGGCCAGCGAGGTATGGCAGACATGGGCACGGGAAGGGAGTTCTGGACGTTGCAGGGGAGGAAAGGAAAACAGTGGGAATTGAAGAACCAGAGTACAGCACAGCCCAGCCTCAAGGCAGTCAGCCCAGGAATGGCCACTGGTGTAGAGGGAGAAGTGCCCCTTTTCCCACCCATCCCCTGGCTAGAAACGTGCTCAGTGTGGGCCAGCGAGGTATGGCAGACATGGGCACGGGAAGGGAGTTCTGGACGTTGCAGGGGAGGAAAGGAAAACAGTGGGAATTAGGGATACTTTCCATAAAGTAACTTTGAAGTCAGTCACACGCAGTTGCTTGTCCTGTGCCTGCTTGCTGTCACTCGTGTCAGCACTTCTGGCAGGGTAGGTGGCATAAGTATGAAAACTTCATCTGAAGGTGGAGTAGAAGTCGTGTATGTCTCCTCTGCTGTGTGATTCCAGGGCTCAAACCACAAATAGCTGGTCTTTTTCCAATTTTCAGTTATTGATGTAGGAAGATATTGTGTCTTTAAAGTGATGCTTAGATTTACAGGTTTCTAGATGGGAGCACAGCTGAGAAACTCTAAACCCAAGCTAGAATACACTGCAGTCCCTGGTGGGGCCGCGGGGCAGAAACGGACATCACGAGCTGACCTCTGGGCAGGGCAGGGCTTGGGATTTAGACAAAAGAGCCACACTGAGGAGGAGTACAGCTGTTTCTGAAGCTCTGTGGGAGCTTCTCAAGGACCTTCAGTCAAGCCCAGCTCAGTCCGGGGCTTGGGGCAGTGCCTGGGCTGTTCTGCTGCATGAGCTCTGCATCCCTCTCCCCTCGGACGTTTTGACCTGTTTCTCAGCGCTGGCTGTGGGGTATATTTAAATGCCGCTTTAACAAGCCTCTCCTTAATCTTAAAAGCCAGAACCAGTCTCTACACTGCAGTTTTTTCAGGGATGAGCCGATTCTCCTCCTCCCAGGGGTGCATCACCTGCCCACGCTGCCCCAGACCTCGCAGGGTGGTGATTGGAGCACTCAGGGACCCTCCAGCACTGTCATTTCCCATGTTCCCCACCCCGTTACGGTGGGATTTCTAGTGCTGCATCCCTCCTCATTTCATCTGCCGGCGTCGGGAGAGGCGGGAGGGCTCCGTGCGAGCGGGCGCTGACGAGTGGCTTTGCCGTTTGCAGGGAGCAGCTGCGGACGACGGCAGACTGAAGCGCGGCGATCAGATTTTAGCAGTTAATGGGGAAGCTTTGGAAGGTGTTACCCATGAGCAAGCTGTGGCCATCCTGAAGCGCCAGAAAGGAACTGTAACGTTAACGGTTTTGTCGTGAATGTCGTTGTGCTTGCGGAGATAAGTACAATTATTTTAGAACATCAGTAGAGCTACAATAATACCGTTCAGCCCTGAGCAGGATGCAAAGCAAACCCTGGCAAAAACGGATCAGGGTTCATCCCGTTGCCAGGAAGGGTGGTGTGCATCTCGAGCTTCCCCATTATCAGCCTTTCTCCCTGCCCTGCCCTACTTCTGGTGGCTTTTGAGGCTTCTCTGGACAAGTTTAATTAAGAAACTTCAAAGAACAGTGTCCATTTTACTTTATTTATACATCAGTTTATCCCCACTAGCCTGAACCCCGGTTACAACTGCTAGAATCAGTTCACACACAAAAGAGAATTTAGATCATCAACTGATCTCATCTGATGAGCAGAAATAAATGCCGAGTGACTTGTCATCTCACTCATGATTTACTTATGCTAATTGTCCTTTCAAGTATGCCAGAAAACATTAGCAATGTAATTAAATTACCACTGTTCCAAATGATGAAATATCAAATTCTCCTCTGGGAAATTATTTGTGCTCGGCACAGTAGGTCTGATAGTCAAATGTGAACTTCTCATGTTTATCTCTTTGGGTAGGTCTATGGAAGTTAGTCAGAGGTAATTACTGTGATGTGTCAATTTGCAGCCTTTCGCATGAAAAATAAACTAGGGGAGAAGGAAATTTATTTTTTTAGGCTTTTAAAATGTTTGAGCCTTTTCAGCCATTTAGGCAGCATGAATAACAACAACCTATCTCGTTCTATTCTAATTATATTTTTAAAGAAGAAGAAACGTGCTGATATATGCCAGGCATGTTGCGTACAAAGGCAGTTGTTGTTGTGCCAAGCTGCAGCATAATTGTTCATCCTGAAACTTTAATGAAGACGAAAAGTTTGCTTCGGCAACGCGATCCTGTAATTCTAGTAATGATGGTGAGCAGTCCCTCTGCGCGTCGTCTTTGAGGATAGATGACGTTAATCCAAACCGGCAAACGGTTCCGCGTTTCCGAGAGTCTGCCCAGGATCAGATCGCGCAGGCAGAGGCTTGCACGGATGGCAGAGGATGCTTCTCTCTGCAGGCTGCTGGAGTTCAGTTTTGGATGACACCAAGTAACGCCGGGCAGCGGTGAGACCATCGCCGCAGGAGACCGCCGCGGCAGCTGGAGACGCTGCCCTCCCCGGGGCAGAGCCTGCGGAAGGGGGTTCCTCAGCCCCCTGGTGAGTCGGATGGCTCAGCTGAAGCATCCGACTGTTTTTTTTGGTTTAAGCTAAGCCAGGCGAGAGCGTGCTGAAGCCCACGAGGAGCCTTCCCAAGGCCTGTCCAGCTCTGCGTGGTGGAGGCGGCGTGCAGGAACGTTCAGCCAAAAGTTGGCAACTTCGTTACGTGTCGCAGCCGTTCCTGCGGTGATTATATGGCCGTGGCCGTAGTGATTTAGCAGATGAATTTGGCAGGCAGATTAATGGCAACACAAGCCATTGTGGTTTAATCTTCCTATCCAGAGGAGCAGTAGGGTTTTAGAGGAAGCAGCCCAGTCTAATTTGGACTATTTGGTATAATTTATAATGATGATGTAGCTGGGAGAAATGAAAGCGGGCGGGGGGGGAGGTTGTCAAAATTGGCTGCTCATTTTATGTGTAAAATCCCTGGAATGAAATGGCAAGAAGATTCAAAATCCATGATATAGTAACTGAGTCGTACAGGGTTTGTGTTTAAGGTACAGCGTTCAGGGTGTTTCAGCGAGGGCGGGTATATTCCCCCATTTCACGTAAAAAAACCAGGAATGAAGCGAGGTGCACTGCACTGAAACAAGCTGTGACTGGCTCTCCTTGAAACGGTTTTCCCTATTTCATCAAAGAGTTTTCTGTGACTGTAGGTAACCACGAAGTGCATTTAGCCTGCCGGAACCGCGAGTGGGTGTTCCGTAACTAGTGCCTGGAAGGGACCTCACGTTTTCACTGGATTCCCACTGCAGTGTTTGATTTTCCAAGCGAAGCGTCAGCGGAACCGTGGTTGGAGACGCATGGCAGTATGTCCAGAGGTAGCAAATTGGAGAATTTTTAGCAAACTGCCTTTGGTTGCAAAAGTATCCCAGGTATGCCCAAGTTAAAGGCGGGTAGGCGAAGTACAAAGAGGAACCCTCAGAAATATTGTACGGAATTTAGTGATTCCTCTGTCTGATTATGTTTTTATAACCGTCGCATTCCTACTTTCAGATGTTACCACATGTAATCTATGAAGTTTTACGTGACTATTTATTAGCCTGTTATGCACATCCTGTTCATATACATAAAGAATAGAATTTATGGGCTGAGATATTTTGCACTTCTCGTTGCTCAGAACGAGAGAGAACATTTTCTGCTTCTTGCAATTTGCACTTTGCGTGCTGAATATATTACTGCCAAAAATTATATTGCAACTAATTGATAAACCAGTGACCACGAGGAGGAGCATGTGCTGTGTGTACAGGACCAAGTTAGATAATTAAATTTGCATTACGCTTGTCTGGGTTGAGGTGTTCTGGTTTGTTTAAAACTTTATTTCTGTGCGAGGGAAAAAGCAATTAAACCTCCTGATTGTATGTTTACGTATATTGGTAAAATGAGACATTTTATGACTTCAGAGATTCTAAATAAAGCTCGGTTACATAAGTAGTTGTGGTGCATTTTATTTTAATTTTCTTTTTAAGGCACTGTTAAAATCTATTGCATGAGATGTCTGTTTGCTATTCCAAGTGGAGCTCACAGTTGCCCTTCTCAGGGAGCAGGAGCAACGGTTGCTGTAGGAGTGCCGGAAGGCGGTGGGGCCGGAAGGCCATGGTGACAGCCGCCCAGGGCTCTGCACCCAGGAACAGGTTGCCCAGAGAGGTGGTGGATGCTCCATCCCTGGAGACGTTCAAGGCCAGGTTGGACGAGGCCCTGAGCAACCTGATCTAGTTGGAGATATCCCTGTTCCTTGCAGGGGGGTTGGACTAGATGACCTTTGAAGGTCCCTTCCAGCCCTAACGATTCTATGATTCTATGATTCTAAGGACGTCCCTGACATCACCAGGAGCCATCTCAGGGCTGTTTGCGTTCCTTGGCTAACTCTGCAAAGGAAAGGACTGGTTACGCCAACGTTGACACTTCTTCCAAAGGCTGGGATTGAGGTGCTGCGAGGAGTTGTGCCGTCCCCGCCGTGTGAGCCTGCCAGGGAACAGAGTCGGTCCAGGCATGACCCCAGCTCGGGCTGCCACGTGAGCCGTGGCAGTGGTGGAGGGTGGGCAGCGGGTCAGCCTGGAGGGACGCACCGTGCGCTGCCGCATACGGAGTCACTGTAATGCCTCTAAATTCACTGTAATTAATCAAATGGCGATTACCACCCTGGAAGTATGACATATATAGAGCCTGTTGAGGTAATATGATTATGCCGAGATGGAGCAGTTAATGTACCTTCGCCTGAAAGAACTGGAATGAATTAATTTAACGTTACACATGTATAAAACATTAGTTTTTACAGTTGTGCTGAGCATTGATATATAATTCCATTATCATCTTTCTCCACGGTTTCGCACTCCTATGTCCATAATTTAGCTGTATTTACATTCTGGTTAAACACTGCCACGGTCATTGTTTTTCCTCTTAGCAGCAATGGACGTTTCGTTGTCTTAACTCGCACAATCCCGTGATAGCTGGAGCTTTTAGGATGGCAACAAGTCACAGATCCCTGTTCTGCAGCATCCCAAATGGAAAAGGAACAAGGATCTCCTTGACTTTGCCTCCAGCCTTGTCCAGGTGGGCTCTGAGGTCTCCACTGCTTTATCAAGTCTGGGCCTTGTTGAAGCGGGGTTTATTCCCGATTCCTGCACAAATAGGAAAATATGCAGTGGTGGTGAAACAGTTCATCATTCCTGATAGCGCAGCCCCTGCTGTCGGTGCTGGGCCTCTCTAACTGCTTCGTTAAAATAAAAAATTCACATCCTGATCAAAGTAATTGTACTGATTAAAACCGCATTGACATGGAGTTGTTCTCTTCTTCCCAGCCGGGATGCCGTGGGCAGGACGCAGACCTGCAGAGCTCGGCTTTTCCCTTCCATCATGTCCTGGGAAACAGGTTTTCTCTCCGGAAACGACAAATCGCTTTTACAAACTCATCAGCGAGGGGGAGGTAAACCAAAAAAGAAGAGGTCCTCAAAGATCTCATTTTTCCTGAAGAAAATGTACTTTTGGGGTAATGGATTTAAACTGAAAGAGGGGAGATTTAGATGAGATCTAAGGAGGAAATTCTTCCCTCTGAGGGTGGTGAGGCACTGACACAGGTTGCCCAGAGAAGCTGTGGCTGCCCCATCCCTGGAAGTGTTCAAGGCCAGGTTGGATGGGGCTTTGGGCAACCTGGTGTAGTGGAAGGTGTCCCTGCCCATGGCAGGGTGGTTGGAACTAGATGATCTTTGAGGTCCCTTCCAACCCAAACCATTCTGTGACTCTATGAAACTCTGTGCAGGAGCCCAGTGCCTCCTTGCACGGCCCATCACAGGGTTTGGAGGGCTCATGCGCCCCCCCCCAACGATGCTGCTCAGCAAAGGCCTCGTTAGTGCTCACCTTGTGAGACGGGAGGGTTTGCGCGCTGGAGATGGTGTTTTGCAGCACGGTCCTGCCAAAAATCAGTCCTCAGCAGGGACCTTGTTTGCTCCAAGCTGTGTTTGGGCTTGAAGAAGCCCCGTTACAGGTGACCCCCTTGCTGGCACTGGGATCGTAGGGAAGCAGATAAAGCTGGACAAATTCTTATTATGGGGGCAAACATTTTTATAATATTGCTGGTTTTTAATTGGGAGAGTGGGGTAGCAAAGAGGGCTGGTTGCTGGCTGTGTTGGTGTCACCTCGTGCAGGTCACCGCGTGTCATTTAACCCCCTCCACACCAGATGTCCCCCTCGCAGGTGGCACACGCTGGGGGCACATTGTGCCCGGTCTTGGGGTGACGCCTGGGTCTGGGTGGTGTGTCAGCAG